AAATAAGGTTACTTAGCTAGTGGTGTGGTGTCCCGGGTTTTTATTTCCTTTTTTTTTTTTTTTTCTTTTTAATTGCTGCTTGGTTTGTTTTGAAAGCTTGGGGGGCGTTTTTTACGTGTTAAACGCAAAATCATGCCTTGTCCCCTATTTTGCAAGCATTTATTCACCTAAAAGCAGGTAATAAAAGTAATGATGGTTTTAACTTGATTTTAACTTGATTTTAACTTGATTTTAACTTGATTTTAACTTGATTTTAACTTGATTTTAACTTGATTTTAACTTGATTTTAACTTGATTTTAACTTCATTTTAACTTCATTTTAACTTCATTTTAACTTCATTTTAACTTTTTTTTTAAATTTATTTTGGAGTTTTCTCTTGCCCTTCCCTTCTGACTTAGCAAGGTTGGTACCAAGAGTTAATTATAGTTGAACTGCTGCAGGTGGCCCTGCAGGGTGCACATACACACCGATACCTGTGATTGACCTTGATGTCTTCTTCCAGCATCTCGGGGTGTGCGAGCTGCCCCTCCCTGTCTGTATATACTTGTAAAAGCTTCTGTGTGCCAGAGAGTGATGCATCCTGGGTTCACTTCTTTTAAAGGAAGAAGCAAGAGAAGGAGGTTTTTGAAAGTTGAAAGAGGAAATAGGAAGTGAGAGGCAGCCCTTGAAAAAGTAGATACCGCAGTTGTTTTGCCCATGTTCACCAGGCAGCTTAGCACAGCTTCCAAGGTGGGACTAAAGCCATCCAGCATCAAGCTGAGGGGGTTCAATTAGAATGCTACCAGGTAGAGGGTGATGTGAAATTGTCTCTGAGTGTCACTGCAGACTAAGCCCTGCTGAGTAGCACTATAAAACAAGTGCTTATGAATTGAAGTCGCGAACTAAAATTTAGCACCAGTTTGTAACTCTTTAAGTGCAAAAGGACAAGAACTAAGTAGAAGTTTTACCTAGGTTTCATATTCTACCTATGTGGTACGAGTGAAACTAAACTTTCTAAAAAATCCCTTATGAGTGACTAATGCTGGTTAATGCAGTTACCCTACTTTTAAGTGTTTATTTAATTTGCAAACATAATTATGACTTTCAATTTCTTCAGGAATCCGTATGAAGAAAAATATAGATTAATTCGGATTGGAAATCCAGCATTTTCCACAAGGCTGTTGCCTGTCAGAGGAGCAGTTGAGTGTTTATTCGAAATGGGGTTTCAGGAGGTGAGTATAATTTACTAATTTCTGATGTCTTCATCAGTTTACACACTAAAATGGATGAATAATTGTTTTCTGCTTCCCCAGTTGAAAGGCAGTAGATTTTAAGCCAGTTGCTATTTTTTTTCCAATCCTTCTTTGCAGGTATCCACAGTTAACCAACAGCAGATTTAAATGGGTCTGCTTCAGAAATCTGGTGAAGCTAGAGATAAGCTAATCTGTGACAAGATTGGTTTTCTGCTGCTCAGGTGCACTGCTGGTTTGCTGACTGGCTGGATACATTCCACCAAGGAAATAGTGGGAAGCAGGGTAAAAACCCCATCTCTTAATAGCAGCCTGCTGTTAGGTGGACATCAGACATTGTAAATGCATGTAGAAACTGTCATTTGGAAGAGAGAAAAAGAAAACCCCCCTCTTCTGCTCCTTTTTCCTGCTGTCAGTAGGGCTTCTGTGGCCCCATAGTGGGTTAGATAAGGGAAGCTGATTTGATAAAAAATCAGTTCCCTAAAACAAAACCAGAGATGTTTTTCATCCAGTTCATAGTGCAGCTGCACAAGTACTGGTGTTGTCATGACAGCAGTAAAGGACAGTAGACTCTTCAAGTAGTAGTAGGAGGGTTAAGTCTTTAAAAGTTCATTTTAAAAAGTTAGAAAATTGTATCCTGAAGTAGTTTGGAGTGAATCTTGATTCTGTTGCAGTCACACAGATGTATTTCGAAGATTGCTTTGTGTCCTGATGTGGTTCCTGTCTTTAAGTGGAACTTAAACTGCCAAGATTAACTGTTAAATTAGAAGCAGCCTTTGTAATTATTGGAGACCTGGGGTGAAAACCCAGCTCTTGTTTAATGCTGCAAAGCTCTTGCTTTTCTTTGTCTATTTGATGCCACACTTCTCTAGGGTTACATATATTATGTTACTTAGGCCAAGGTGTCATGAGACCTCTGCCTTCTCTTTGGGTTCATTAGCGTAATTGTTCTAATTAAAAAAAAAAAAGTGTGCTGAGAGAAATGGTGACTGCACAGGGAGAAACAATCTGTGGATTTATTCTCATGCTGGTGCTCAGGAGACTTCTAATGATGTATTTTAGCCAGGAGATGGCTAGTGTAACTAGTGAAGCACTCAAACAGATCTCTAAATGTATTGGCTCAGTCTTATGGTTATTGTGTCAGTCAAGGCTGGAGCTCACCAATTTCTCTTCAGCTAGTTAACTAAAATTGTTCCTTCTTTTATCTCTTCTTGGTAAGCAGACTTTTTCAATTAAAAAATGAGGAATGTATTTCCTCACTCTTCTGGGAACTTGACACATTCCATTTAGTTTTGCGGTGATTTTAAGTGTTAATGTGAAGCACAGCATCTGCAGTAATAGGTGACCTAAGGTAGCTGCGGAAAAACAAATTACCTTAATGAATAGAAATGTTTCAGTGGTAGAAACTGAGACTGTTACAGTAGAAATGCTTCAGGATAGTCATGTTTTTAGTAACCTGTTTTTTTATGCTAAGTATGCTGATACTTGCTTCTGTAACACTTACTGATGTTTTGTTATGCTTTGTGTTACAATCAAAAATAGGAGCCCAGAAATCATCCTGGGTACAGGTCTCAATAAAAATAATGTCTTATCTGAAAACTTGAACCTAACAAATATTAGTATGGAAGAGAATTCCCAGCAGATGCCATTCTAAGGTCTTCTTCCCCCAGCATTGGCTGTCCTATTGTGTTGCCAAGCATTCCACTGCCATCCTGAGACAACTGAGCATTTTTTGTTCATTTCTGTTGTCGCTGCTTTCTCTGCAAAACCTTAATTTCATAGTCCACGTGTGGCTCTGCAGAATAATTTACTAACAAAAGCATGTTGTTATGGATCCTTTTTCTCTAGATTGACTATAAGTTCTTAATCTAATGACTTCTGAAGCTGTGAACAACCTCAAGCTTCTGCTGTGAAGGGACCTAATCTTAAAGCTGAATCCTGCCAAGTCTTAGCATACCAACTAACAAACCATTGACTAGATCTGCTGCTGAACTAATTTGTCTAAATTTCAGGGAGAAACTCACCTGGTTTTCCCTAAGGAAGCTTCGATTGAGCAACTACGTAAAATCAGAGACTTAATTGCTGGAGAGAGAAGCAGCAGGCTGAATGAGTCAAACCAAATCCCCAAATCAGGATCCGCTGAAAATGTCAGCAGCACTCAGACAGCTGCACAACGGCCTTCAAGACCTGCTGATTCTGCTCTTGCCCCTGCCCGTCAGCGACCAGAAGCATCACTTGTGCAATCTCTTGAAATGGTAATTATAACCTGAAAACTTTATAGGTTCATTAGTCTTGAATATAAAGATTGAAGAGAAGTTGACTGCTGGGATAGGTTGCTCAGAGAAGTGGAGTAGTCTCCAAATGAGCACATTTTTAAGCTCTGAGTAAAGCTTAGAGAAACTTGGCCTGACCTCATAGCTAATCCTGTTTTGAGTAGGAGGTTGGACTAGAGGAGTTTTTTCCAATGGTTTCTGAAGTTTTTGGAGTGTTTTTTTCAGTCTCCGTGCAACTTAAACATGAAATGTGCCATAAATAGAATTCTGGCAAGAGATTTTGTTGAAGATCTCCATAAATGTTTTGTTGATCAGGGTGTCATGAAAAAAAGCTGATTTGTATTGGGAGGGAACAGCAAGGTGGGGAACAAGGGGAGGGGTGGGAAGCTAAGGCTATGCTTATATTTGGTATTTGAGAGCCGGAGAAAGAACAGGAAAGTGACTGTAATGTTTATAGTTGTTGGCATCTTGGTTCATGCATTATGACTTCTCTGAGGCCTGTGAGGAGGCCTTTCTTCTTTCACATGTACTTGTCACTGAAGACAGGAATTTAGCCGGGCAAGGACAAATCCATAGTTATCTGGGCTGAGTTTCCCTTGTCCAGGAGGTTGAGATGAAGTTCCTGATCAAGACAGAGGCAGTATCCTGGCTTAACGGAAGAAGATGCAACATCTCATACAGCTTTGAAAAATTAAGTTATGCCTTTAGATAGAAGCTTTTAAGGATGCTCTGGTTTAGTTTTCCGAAGAGTTTTTCTTCTACAATGTGTCACTTAAAGATTAAAGTTGGTGTAAGATGAATCCTTTCAAAAAACCCTCACTTCTCATACATCCTTAAACACAGTTTGCCACTTTTAAGTTATCAGGATATTGTTGGATACTGAACTATGACATACTGTTTATTTCCAATACCTACCCAAGATCAGTGGACGAGAAATTGTGCATCATGGTTTGAAGTGATGGCTTTTGGAGATAGAGGGCTCTCAGTGACCCATCATCACCCAAACTGTCCTTTGGGAAGGGAACTGTTGTAGACACTTGAATATTGGGCTGTTTAATTATGCTAGCTTGGTAGTAGTTGCCTCTAAAATATATTAACTAGATTTATTTGAATTGGGTTGTGGGGTTCTGTGGTTTTTTTTGGTGTTTTGCTTTTGTTTTTTTTTTTTTTTTCTGCTTCTTGATTTTTACAGTTTCAGCTACTTCTACAGTGGTGGTTGGAAGTGATTTATAAAACCTCTAGAGTGACTTGCTGCTGTGTTGCTTAGTACTGGAACCTTTAAAAGTTGATCTTGCAATGAGAATAATGTTGCAGATTTCAAGTTGACACAATGTACTCTGATGTTAATCCTTGCCATTTATACTTGTTCTGCCCAGACATACACTAGCCATCAGAGTAGTGGATCCATTTCTTTGCAACTATTAATTTTCCATGCTTCTTGATATTCAGCATGGATGGTGGGACCAAACTTACTACAATTTAGAGACATTGGTAATGCAATGTTGGTGCTTTACTAGAATGCTGTATTTTAGCTGATCTTCAGGGAACTATACTGGTAGCTCTCTGAGCCATTGAATTTGATCTGTGTAGTCTGGGTTGATGGGAAGGAAGTCCATAAAATGCCTTCTGGCTGTGACTTGGCCATTTTGCTTGCACAGCAGTGGGGGTTTTGATTTTTGGTGAGTATGATGCTTAGTTATAGTTGTATTATTGTTGTGTGCTCTGCTGACAGATGTCAGAGAGATTTAGAGCGGTTTCTGTAGTGCAAGCATTTTTTCTTGCCTATGTGTTACATTTGTCATTCATGGGAGTCCTGGTAAGTGCAGGGAAAACTGGCTTTCCTGAGACAACACAGGAATATTCCTGAATGGCATAGTTCTAGGGACCTAACCTATCGTTATTTTACTTCATCTATCTCTTCTGCATATCTTGTCATAAAATGTTTTTGAGACTTGGGGAAAGGAAAGCTCTGGCTAGTCATTAATTCTGAAGCATGATATAGCAGCAGAGAAAAGGTAATTTAGCAGGGCCACGGGCTTCCCCCCAAAATATGCCAGGCCCTTAATTTAAAAATCCCAGTTCATTTTCTGTATTACTACCCTTTAAGTGGGAGTAAATAGCTTGCTTAGCTACCAACTCCATTATTATTAACTTCAGCTGTTTATTTCAGTAGCTTTGGGTGTCCCTTATTGGGTGCAACTTGTAGGTATCACTAGGTGACACTTAGGATGACTGACTGAAGAAGCCTAGTTCTCATACACAATTTCTACTGAGAGTGTTTACTTTATGGTCTCAGGGCTGTCTGTTCAAATCTGTATCAGAGTTGATCTGTGAGAGAAAGAAGTAGACAAGCAACATTCATAAATAAGAAATAGAAAAGCAGCAGTCATCAATAACAAGAGTTCTACGAACTGGTGTAGCAGTGTCCAGGAAATGAAAGTGATTACAGGGTTTTTTTGTGGATTTCAGGTAGAATGTGTCCAAAAGAAAGGTGGGGGGATGGAGTAGGGGACTGGAACAAGTGAAAAGCTTTGCCGTCAGAGGTGTCCTTAGAAACAGTTTTCTCTCTGAGTCAGTACACTTTTCACTGACAACATCATTCAGAATGCTCAGAGGTGACAAGGTCTTATTTACAGTTTGGGTGGTGTTGCCTAAGATTTTTGTTGATATCTTTACAAATAAGCATTTCACCTGCAAATACATATAATGTAAGTGTGAATATAGAATTATGACTGACTTAAGATAAAAATAGAAGAGCCTGGGTTTTTTGCCTTAAGGTGAAAGTTCATAAATTGTCTTATAACTGAAAATACTGTTGCAGGCTGCAAATATCTTGAAAACACTTCAAACAAAATTTGAGGATCTTGTGTTGATGTACGAGAATCCTTCTATTCAGCAAAAAGCACTAGCTGTGATTCCCCTCCAGGAATTAAAGAGCAAGGCTCAGAAAAAGCTATCACAAGCTACAAAACTGGACAAAGGTAATGCTGCCAGGTTATAATGTATATGAAACTAGAAATATGCTTTGGAACATACTGTATATTGGCTGTATGTGGTCATATGTTTGCAGGTTCCAAATGCTGTTTCTTAGGTGGAATTACCTTCTTTCTAATTTCCTACTCTATCCTTTTCTTATTTTTTATTTTACTGTTGTCATCCGTCTTTCACTGCTTCACACAAATTTTTGAGTTTTAATTTCTGAATTAGTAGTAAACAATGCTGGGGAAACAAATGAAATGAGCATGTGCTGTTGCATTCCTTGAATTTAGAGTGAAATGGGTACAACAAGAGGAGGGGAACTGTTTGTTTGAGTAGTCACTATTTTGAAATTGTCAATTCTTGCAATTTTCCTGTACATACTACAGTTCTAAATTCAGAATAAAATCTTTAAATACTACTTCTCTTTTTTAAAGTGATATTAGTGAGATTTTGCGTGAGACCTTTCCAAGATGCCACCTGATACAAACAATCACCTTTCTTGCTAATGTTTAAATGAAAAGGGTTGTTCATATGCCATCCTCTTGGAGCTAGATGTGGAATGTAGGCCTAAATACTTGTGGTATCAGTCTCTAAAGTTTATTTTCTTCATAAATGCAAATTTGTTTTGAATGCATGAAGTTGTTGTCAGTTAAAACGATACATTTCTATTTTCAGGTGACGGTTTTAGATTTGCTTCAGTGATATAGTGAAATATTATTCTATGTGATAAATACTAAATAAATTCCAAGACCATCTTTAAACAAAAAAATCCTTGTCACTGTGAATCTTTGATAGAAGACTCTTCGAAGCAATTCTGCTAACTTGGTTTGCAAACCAGAAATAATCTCATCTCATGCTTTTTTATAAATTACTTTGTGATGTCTCATAAAGCCACGTGGTAATATATAATTGTGCCTTTGGCAGTAGGGAACTTTTTCATAGTGGATTTTCTTTGTAGTTTTTGTTTTCTTATAAAACTGTTCTTGGGAAGTAAGAAACCACATGAACAAGTACTAAGCATACTCATTCAGCATGCAATGGAGAAAAGAGACTTAGCAGTAATAAATGACAACTATTAAATTCCTTCAAGAAGCAAAAAAAAAAAAAGATGACCATACCTCATAGATTCTGTTCTAATACTGCTGTGCACGTTGTTTAAAACAGGGAAGGAAGGAGGAGGGTAGTGTTTCCAGGTGCTTCCCAAGCCATCAAGCCAGTCTATTCAAAATAGCTTCCAGACCTTAATTTAGATACAAATAAAGGGGAAGAGATGGAATTTCACTGTTTTGGATTCTGACAACTTGAAAGTATTTTTTGAAGAGCTTTATAGAAAATTCATTTGGGAATGGACTGTGTAAGAGATGTATGGGTAGTTGGCCCTTTCAGCTTCTTTGCTTTGTCTGTACTGCTGCATTGACTGCCACCTGTGGGAATAACTACTTAATGCTACAGGGCACTTGTTTTTAGGACTTGCTTTACAATGTATAATAATCATTTTTGCCTAATAAAGAGTATGCTAGGAAGATGATGGTCATCTGATCAGAAGTATGGATTTGGTTTTTTTACTCTTTGCCACATTCAATTAGGAAGATAGACTGCACAGTGAAAAATAGCTGTGTGTCACAGCCAACTGTTTCCTGTTCAAATAAATCACATTTGTCATTGTTCCCATGTGATGTTTCAATGAAGGATTTATTTTATGAACCAAGAGAAGAATTTTTGTATCATAGCAGTCATATTTTCATAGATGGGTTCTGGTTTGAATGTTATCCAGAAAAAGAGAATGTGGCCTGTGCTTAAAATCTTATTGTTCAGCTTTTAGCAGAAAGTTTGACTCTACAAGCATATCCATTTTGTAAGCAGTAAGCCCTTGTCTGAGTGTTGCAGCACAAAGGGTTTTGACATACATAAGTAAAAATGGAAATTTTACTGTAATTAGAAATCAGGTGTTTCTGCTTTGATTAACAGAGGATCTCTTCCCATGCACTTCACGGTCTTGGCGATGTGTGTTTAATAGTGTTACGGCCCCTACAGGGTGTTTTGTATCAAAGACCACTGCAGCTTCAGAACAAAGTGTGAACTCGGCTTAAATAAATAAAACGCACATCTTACCTAGTCTTTCTTCACCGTCCTAACAAAGGAGCTCATGCACAAATTTAGCGCAACTGCTTTCAACTTTCTTTAAGCAGCATTTTTGTACATTCATTTTGTCTGTTAATATTCATTAGTCAAACCTGTCTTCACTGTGACAAGAAGAAAACTGTGGTGCATAAAAATAACCAGGTATTAATACCTGTGTTTTCAGTGATGATAGAGTTGATAGGGGGACTTATTTTAATGTTTATTTATCTGAAAAAGAAGAGTATCTCTCTGGGCACTGGAGCATAATGTGCATATAAAGATTCCAAGAAGTTTAAAGGGATGGATCTCTCACGAAAGACTGGATTTTCACCTTTTTTATTTAGTTAAAGTGGGGCTGTTTCCAGGTGTCAGAACAGTGACAGCGTTTGAGTAGATTCTAACATATGTTGTGAACAGGAAAACAGGCCAGACGCGTTTGGTGTGGTGAAATCAGCTAGAGTAGAAAATTAAAGACATCTTGTGTCTACTTTGGATAAGCTAAGAAAGGTGTTTGTTTGCTGAATTTAGAACAAACTCAATCTGTTTGCATGGTATATACATATATTTTACAATAATTAAGTTGTGTTTGTAGAAAGTCTGTTCCTATTACAACTGGTTGTCTAGATTGCTGCCAGCATCTGGTTCATCAGGATTTTGAAATCAAAGCAATTGTTATTCCTGGTTTAATAGCTAACAATAAGAAAATAATATTTAGGAGCAAAAAAAGAGCTAACACTCTCCTAAAGCCCTGGAAAAGGTATGAGGGGCTTGAGAAATTTCACCAGGCTTCAATGTATACCTGACTTGTTTTTCTGAGCAATTTCTTATTCTTGTTGTAGCTGTAGTGTTTAGGAGTGCAGTTTTTTGGTTTTGAGTTTGACCTTATTCAGTCTTGACAGTTTAAATTTTGGTTTTTTATGTACTTTTTATGTGCTTAAGTATTATTATTGTTATGAAGCTTGTTTAATGTAATTTTTATATTTTAGAAGTACATATAAAGTATATATCATGAAGGCCCAGAGATGGTGATTTGCATAGATACTGTCAAGTTCAACTAAATTACTTTTCTATATGAACTAACTTGGTGTTGTATAAATTTTACAGGTGCACATGTGAACGAAGAGGACTTCCTATTGTTGGAGCTTTTGGAGTGGTTTAAGACTGACTTTTTTCATTGGGTAAATAGTCTTCCCTGCAGCAGGTGCGGTGGGCAGACAGAGCCTAAAAGTGACTACCTGTTGCCTACTGCGGATGATGTAAGGTGGAATGCCAGTCGAGTGGAAAACCACTACTGCAACCAGTGTCAGTTCTCTAATAGATTCCCAAGGTGAGCACACAGAAGTCTCCTTTGTCTTTTTTCTTGTCTTTCAAGAAATAACTTTGCATTTGTGCATTTTGCGAACAAGAGATAAGTTATTAGTTGAAAGATTAGTGAAACTGTTTTAAGTATGATGATAGAATGGTTGATGAACCAGCAATTTCTCTACATGATTAGATTAAAAACGATATATTGCTTTCTGCTATGGGACCTTTTTCTTAATACTTGTCTAATTTAACTTTTTTTTTACTGTTAATTTGATGAAGCTTCTAAATAAGATATGTTTACATTGCCAACCATGTGTAGGTAATGTTTTGTTATTGCAGGGAAAACTTTCACTTCTGTGGAAAATCACAGTGTAATGCACATCTTTGGCTGAGTCTATAGCAAAAGAGCAAATATCTAATCTTTGGATTATTTTTGCCAATTATCAAAAGGACCGTGGTACAAAAATTATATTTTAAAGCATCTAAATCAATTTTAAAAACTTGAAAAACAAGATTCATTTTAATGCTGCTATAAACATGATGGAGTCACGTGAGCTGAAGTAACATCCTGCTCAGACTTGTTTCGTGCAGTACAGTGATCATTTCTGTTATCATCTGTGGACTGATGGGTACTGAAATCTGTTCAAATCATCAGAAGAACAGTTGTGATGTAAAGATTTCTGAAAGGTGAAATGTATTTTCAGTTATTCTTGTTTTGCTTTTCTCCTGTAGGTACAACAACCCTGAAAAACTTCTGGAAACCAGACGTGGACGCTGTGGCGAGTGGGCAAACTGTTTTACGCTGTGTTGCAGAGTTGTAGGGTTTGAAGCAAGATATGTCTGGGACTATACAGGTATCAGTGTTCTAGACTATTGTAATGTTAATATAAACCTATGCAAAATGAACCTATGTATTTTATGTTTCTCAGATTATATTAATCATCAAGGCAGCGTGTACAGTTATGCAGTTCAGCTAACAAAGACAGTATACATTCAATTTTCTGTCCTACCTGATGAGATGAAATACACTTCTGCAAGTAGGGTTGGATAGCTAACTTGAGAATGGTACAATCTTTCACTGAATCTAAGGGACTGTGATCCTGAGATAGAAAGAGAAAACTCTGGTAACGTTTCTGAAAGTACATGTACAGAAAACGTGTTCTTGCACCTGTTCCTTTGTTTGATATATTGGAAAAAGTTAAAAGATTCTACAAGATTAGAAGAGATGCTCTATCCTTATAACTCATTGTGTATTCTTGGCCTTTATTACATAGATCATGTGTGGACTGAGGTATATTCTTTATCTCAGAAAAGATGGCTTCACTGTGATCCCTGTGAAAATGTCTGTGATAAACCTCTTCTCTATGAAACTGGGTGGGGAAAGAAGCTCTCCTACATTATTGCATTCTCCAAAGATGAGGTAGGAGCAGTGATGCTAATAATAGAAAAACTAGCCTCTTTAAATGTGAAGCAAGATACATCAGAATTCTGGTTGCCTTACTTTCTTCTTCAACTTGTGCTTGAGGTTGTTGATGTCACCTGGAGATACAGCTGTAAACATGAAGAAGTACTCTCTAGAAGGACAGCACTCAGCGAAGCAACGCTACGTGAGACAATTAATGCACTAAATAGAACGGTATGTAGCTTTTCTTAAATGGATTTATTGAAGTGAAACACAAGCATCCGCAGAATGTGAAGTCCTTGAACAAAGGAATGCATTTGGTAACCTGATAGGAGTGTCCATGCACTATGGATATAAAAAAATGCCATTAACTATGCATTTTAACATGAATACATAAGAATCAGATACAGTGCTGAACTTATGGGAAATAAGATAAAGAATGGTATGCAAACGGATTATCATATTACCTATTACGTAGCCATGTATGTATATGTTATTCTTCTTAGTGACTTCGGAATAGACTTGTATATCAGCAGATACTAGGTGTAAACTGCAACTCCTTTCTAACTATGTGGACTCCTTGAGGGTGGCTGAGTGTTTTCCACATCAATAATGCTATGACTTGAAAACAGTAGCATTTACAGTTGTAGGAAATGTAGGCTTAATTTGCTTTTTGTGACTTTTTACAAGCTGCAGGAAGCGTGAGAAATTGTTCGCTTTCCAAGACTTTGAAAAAGCATTGATACCATCAGCAGAGCTTTGACTCAGTCACACACATATGTGCTGTTCATGCTTAACATGCCCAAAACACATGGAGCCATTTACACCTCTTTGTCATAGTTGCAGAACCTCTCTGCTAAGCTTTTTTCCACTCCACACTTGGAACAAGATGAACTTTGCTTGATTCAGTATACTAGAATATTGTAAAACCTGGAACTGCCTGGGGTGTTCTGTTTTGTCTTCACTTCCTTACAGGGCTAATATTCCTGTTCATGGGAACTGTAGTTCCAGTGGCAGTATACAGCTGATCCTTTAATAAACAGATTATGCCTTTTTAGGGGCCTACTGGCTTTCAGAGTTATAGCCACACACTAAGAGGGTGAAGAATTGAGTTGGGCTCATGTTTGAGGCCAGGGCTTGAAATCATTTTGTCAGCAATGAAAAGTTAGTCACATGGCACTAAGGCTCTGGACAAGGCTAATCAGAGTGTCGTCACAGAGGAGTAAGGTGGCTCATCCCTGGGACTATCAAGATGTCTTGTAGCAGGTTTTCATTATTCCGTTCAGTCACAAGTCTCCAGCTCATATGGTTTCCTTCACTTCAGCCTATTCAGCTGATAACTGACACAGAGGCTTCCACTAACCTTCCCTTTTCCCATCAACTCCTAGAGGCTGGCTCCACTCTAGGACAGATTATAGTCTTTGTGTTGTTTGATGCAAAGCTCCAACACTGTGTCTTTTAAGCTCAGTGCTTCTAAGTTGCAATTAAAGAGAAGCATGGCATGCAGTATACATGATCACCTGTACTGCAGTGTTAGCAAAAATGGATTTGAGGGGTCATTACTGCTCTTTCCTGCATAAAGGGCAGTGGCTGTGGCCGTTATTTCTCTGCGTGTCTGTTTAATTGCCAAGCAGAGACCACACAATGGTTCGAAGCATGTTGAGTGGCTTGCTGTTAAATGGATAACAGAGAGGGATAATTTAATCTCCTCAGTACACTGTTTTACTGTTCAAAAATATTATATGTATTTTATCTGGGTCAGGCATTCCTAAATGGGTGTGTAGCTTCTGGGCTACCCACCATCTGATGTTACTCTGTAGTACCATAGCGCACACTACTAATTTTCTTCACGTACTTTGTATGGTCACTGTCCTATTACAGTCCCTTGTATGTTACCCCTATAGAAAGTGGGGAGAGGACCCTGAACTTTCCACTGTTTTCGTTGAAAATGGGATGGTGGGACAGGGAAGCAAATTATTTTTTTATTTTCTCCAGGCCCCAGTTTTTTGGTAGTGATTGTGAAGGGTTAGAGTTATAGCCAGGTCAACTCTTACTGGGAAAACTAGTAATTTAGGTTGAATTGCAAGCATTTCATGGTAATTAACGTGAGATGATCCAGTATTCCTTGTCAAAGGTTTAAAATTCAGTTTCTGCCCTCAAATTATCTCAAACCTAGCAGTGGGTCCACTTAAACCATAGGTTGTTGGTCTTCTGAAAGCAGAGTCCTTCAGTAAGCATCAGCAGCACAACTCACCTGATACAGAATTGAATTTAAAGGTGCAATTCACAATCTCTCTTCGTTCTCATTCTCTTTGTCTGCCAAACAAAGATGGGGCCTGAGCATGTGTGTAGAGGGTAATATCTTAGGGGGAAAAAAAAAAAAAAGAAAAGAAAAAAACAGAAGCACCAAGTTTGAGCCATGGCACTTGGTAACGGAGTTCTTGAAATCCATTTCAGCACATGGATGCTATTCATGACAATGTCATCGGTAGGAAATGTAGTTACAGGTTTTCCCAGCACAGGCAGTGTTGGCCTCTGAAGAGTCTAAGCATTATGCATGTCTTGCATGCTGCTAGCATTTCTATGCTGGAGTCCGCCAGGTGGCAAGAATTAGCATACTTGTACTGTTTATAGTTGTGGAGCTCACTAATTTCTTGTATTGTACATAAAGAGGTCTGTTTTCAGAACCCTTTTCGTGTTGAAGCACTGTTCTTTAACAGGTTTCTTTTCAGCTACTGTTAAAACAACTGCACAGCAAGGGGCATCCAGTTCTCAGCATGGCATCACTGATTTCAGAGGTGATGCCCTCTGACATTGGGTTTCCCCTACATCAAAGGAGCTTGAAGAAAATTGTAATTGGTATTCTTAACTTAGGGTAAACCATATCAAATTTCCTCTGAGCTGGAATGAGATCTGTAGTACTGCAAATGCATATCCAAAGTGTTCAGGCAACTGTTACATTGAGGAAGGCCTGGTGTTTCACTGCTGGAATCACTGCTTGTCATCCATCAACTCCAGCAGAGGGCTTTTTTCCCCCTCGCTGTGTTAGAACTGGTATTTGGCATCTGGAATTTGTTCAGTTGGAGCTGTTTCTCATAATTTCTCTGTATTTACTTCCCTTTAGCCAGTTCCACATTGTTTTGTTTTTTTGTTGTTCTAGACAACAATCTTGAAATGTCTCTTGTGATCTCTAATAGCAAAACTGTTTCAGGTCAGAACTGCTTTTGAGATAATTGGAATGCTTATCAGCCTCAAGTTTCACATCCTAATGGGCTGAGTGTGCATGCCTTGGTGATCACCAAAACAGAAAAAAAGATGATGTGTAACAATTTATATACTCAATGTTAAACTTAATTTTCCAGCCCTGTGTGAGTTTATCCCAGTTAAAAAAAAAAAAAGGCTTTAGACGCCAGCTTTGCATATTTGACATGAAAATCATACAGACAAAATACCAGCCTCCCAATGAAATTTTTCAGTGTTGTGCATCAAAATAATGCCTGTTTTTTACTAACATAGGCAAAGAAAGCATGTCATGTAATTCTTTTTATTTTCTACTGATTTAGGTGGAAGTAAGTTTTTGTTAGTTTTTCTTAGTTTTCTGACATCGGTGAAAATAGAAATGTCATAGTGTGTTTATGATAGAATCAGTCACAGTGAAATAACTTTTTGAAGATGAACTGAATCTTTTGTTTGGGCTTAATCACAAAACCAAGACTGTTGCTGACCAAATCATTCCACGTTAAAGATAAATAGTTTGACCCAAAAATAACGCTTACCTTCCTTTTCCCCTAAATAATACTGAAAACAGCTATAGTACAGAATATATATCTCTATTTAATAGAGATAAAATATTCTAATGGAAGCATCTCATCATCCAAGCAAATACATAGCACAAACCTTGTTTTAAAAGAAATCCACATAGTTAGTGCACAGCAAGTTCATAGAGAAAACATTCGACTACTGTTGAATAACCATGCAGTAATGTCTGGTTTATATCTGTGTATGTGGTATAAGATTAATGTTTCTAGATTTTAAATTTTAGTCTGTTTTTTTCAATTCTGTTTTTCCCTGTTGATGTCAGGGAAATTCTGTAGAACAGAATTACAAATACCATTTTTTTCTGAATTTTTTACTTATATGTTTTTTTTCCAGAGACAAAAGTCTTTGTCAGACAGTAGAAAAAGAGAGCTCTTGGAAAGGACTATTGTGGAGCTTGTTGAATTTATTTCTCCTAAAACACCTAAACCTGGAGAATATGGTGGAAGGACATCGGGCTCAATGGCTTGGCGAATGGCCAGAGGTGAAATTGGTCCAGAGGTATTTAACTTTTGCACTGATGACCATCTTAGAGGGAGCTAACTAGAGGTTTTATGATTATGGTCTGCAGAGGAAGAGCATTTCGTGTTAGGTAGCTTACAGATTTAGTTAAAACAAATGAATTATGCAAAAGCATTAGGTGCAAGTTTGATGTGAATTCAGTAGAGGTCCGCAAGTAAACTTGGACAATTGATGGTTTTCTGTTGATTCCAGTAATGTTTGGGAATCCTTGATCTTTTGTTCTTACAAATTAATAAAAAATATTTTTTCCTTTAAATAGTTGGTGTGACAGAACTAGAAAATTTAGGACAGTTGAAAACAACTGGGAAAACTTTAAAAAAGTGTTTCTCTTATAAGTTTCTTCCAGCTTTTAACCAATAGTAGGTTTTGACCAACTGTTTTTGTTAATAAAACAATGTGGGAGCAACTAGAATTCTGTACTTTAAACAATCTCTTAAATAATAAGCTTGGTTGATTTTCGTGTCAGTATTTCTTTAGTATTTCCAGAAGCAAGATTTGATTTTTATTAATTTTATACTAAGATACAGATTTCCAGAACAGTAGTCATATTTAGCTCGAGTCAGGATGCAAAGGTGTGACCTTAATCTTGGAACAATACTGTCATGTGAAGGACTGACAATCCTAAATAGAACCAGTTAAGTGAAATTATTGAATTTCATGGGATTGTTTGAGAAACTAAGGGTTTATTGTGGTTTTCCATAGTTCAGAAGACTTAATTTCTACTTTGCTGAAACTCAGGAGAACAATGAATTTTTTAAGGAAAATAATAGTGTGAAGTTACAAAGTTTGTACTTGAAGTTTTTTGAAGTTGATTTGTAAACTACCATACTGAAGCACCTGTAAATGGTAGTCACAGAATTACATTTGCTATTCAAATAACCATGTACTTATTGATTGTACAAGAAATATGCTCAACTTATAAACTTTTTATTCTTAACCTCTAATTTCTTACTTAAATGTGCTAATATTATGTTAACTTGTTAAAAAATTACTTCTAAAAGTAATTACATGAAAACTTTAAAAATAAAATTAGTGCTCCCAATTGTACAAAGGTGCAGGTCTATTGTAGGAAACTACTTTAAAACTTCTGTTCTGCAGAAGTGCTTTTGTCCATGACCTCTCTTAAAAATGACTTTTTTTCACTTGCAGCAAGACCAAATTGGGAAACTATGACATACTGTTTAAAAGTAACATAGTCTTTGGGGAATTTAGGCGTAGGGAAATGAAGGTGCTTGTATTTTTTGCCTTTTTCAGAAAAGAAAAGAAGTACTTTTTATTCCCTCTGAAAAGGAGAAGACATCTAAACTCTTCCACCTCACCTACAATATAGTAGATGACAGTTATACACGGATTTCCAATAATAATGAAAAAATAAGTGGTTGGGAAGCAGGTGTTTGGAAGGCAGAATCTATTTGGAGAAAGGTTGAAACAGATTGGAAAATGGTAAGAACAGCAGTTATTTAATGTATATGATCCACTGTAAAAGTATAACTCCAATAAAATAGAAAACCCTTGCCAATGATTGGTATCTAAACCTCTCTTGGTGCCCATAGAATTTAGCTGATGTTAGTAAATGTTACTGTTAAGCTTCAGGTAAGACTGCCAGATGATTTAAGAAATTGGAAATAAATTTAACTTTTTTTTCAGAAAGGATGACCAAATTCTCTACAGATAGGTAAAGTCGTTTCCAGAGCACCGAATTTTAAAAAATGGTTTCCTTCTTACTTCTCTCAAAAAAAAAAAAAAAAAGGGAAGAAAAAAGAATATTTTTGTGTTGTTTTGGAGAATAGCTCTATAGAGTATCATCTCTCTTTGATACAGAAAGGAAGAAATTGTCATCCAAAATATTATAGTTCCATCTGCAAGTAGGCAAAAACCAGTCAGTTATCCAGATTATTGTATACCTTGCCCAGAATCCTTCCCATCTGTCAAGACACTGAGCAGCAGAAGAGTCATATGCTCTAAATCTGAGAGCTGAAGCCTGTGAGATGGGAAGGGGTTGTTTACTAGCAAACAGCTTTTCCCACAACAGCAACCAACTGTGGAGCTGAACATTCCTGGCAGGAACCGTAGCATGTCACTGCTTCTTCCCCTGCCATCTTGCTAGTCTGAAGAGTCTCTGACCAAACATTCTTTTAGCTTAGGCAGCGGTTTACTTCGCATTGATGAAAATGGAGTTAAGTATGTAACTAACTGCCTTCTGAGGTTTTCTGTGCTAGGTCTAAACTGATTTGCAAAATCCAATGGGGGAATAGCTTGGAGAGGTTATGCTGCAAAAAGGAGAAAGAAAAAGGAAAGAAATGAGGTAATAATATAGAAGATGTCACTACAGGGTAGGCTAATAGTAGAAGAGAAGTAAATAAAACTCAGAGTGAGGGACAGCTGTTCTCTGCTTTCCTAGTATCTGCTAAAAATCTGATAGCACATTTTATTTTCAAATCTGCAGTGATCAGTTATCCTCACTTTTGTAAGAAATATACTCTCCTTGCAATGAAACTAAGCCCCAGTTCTGCTCACCTCTACTAATCAGATAAACCAGGGTGGGACCAATTTAAAAGCCTAGGTGAAATGATTTTTCACCTTCTATTCAACAACACCTCAAAAGGATGAGAAAAAGGCCTTGAGGAATTAGGAGCTACAGCTCCAGGTATATCTCAGGCTTGTGGGGAAGGCATGTTAGTTCTGCAGGAATTACATCCTGCAGAAAGTCTGTGTAAGAATCTAAGAATTCAAAATGACCTTTCTTTAGTGGTTGTTTGTATTATGGGAGACAGCAGCAGAGGGAAAGGTTGTTTGGGGTTTGCCTGTTATTTTTGTAAATCCTCTGGTAGCTCTGCAAGATACAGCTTTGGAATTTGGTTCAGCAGCTGTCCAAGAACTTAAGAGCCAAAAGAACTGTTACAGAAATACTTTGTTTATCATTTACTATGTGATGAATGGAAAGGAATTGAAGTCTAAAAGCCACAGAAAATGTATCTGTAGGTGTTAGCCCAGGAGTAGCAGAAAATAACCATCAGCTATGTATTCTGTCCTTGCAGTGTTGTTGATCAAAATGATTCAAATAGATGATACTCTTGGTCAATCTGATATTAGCCGTCTCCATTGTGTTTGTGTATTTCTTTGCTATTCAGTGTCACGTGACTTTATGCTACACAACACAAACAGGTACAAGCCACAGGTTCAATCAGATCACCCAGAGATAACTTGACACCCAGGACTCAAGCAAGCAGACCACAGTAGGTGATAATAAGAGAGCAAGCACCTTTAGATCTGAAATCCTTGTATTTCTAAATGGCTTGTTTTCCAGAAGAATTGCTCCAGTGGAAGAGTATTTGAATGAGTTGGTTTGTTGATTTGGGTTTTTGTCTCCAAATTCAGACTTCTTTCAAATAATTCCGGAAACAAAATAGCCAAGTTTGAAAGTTAAGGACAGTCAAAAAGACACAAAAGAGAACTTTTTCTTTTTTTCTAAGTGCTGGAATATTATTATGGAAGACGAAACAGACTAATGTTTTAAGGCTTTTAGGGATAAACCCTATTTTTAGTGCACCTCAACCAAATAATATTTAATGGAGTGTTTTGGCTTCCTTGCTCAAATACAGCAGTTCAATAAGATCTGATCAAGGGAAAGCTCTTGCTAGAACTCCCTGAGATACTTAAAAAAAACTGTGGAGATCAGCACCGTCATGAAGATTAATATTATATTCACATGAAAACAGGGTAAATCATTAGATTTTCATAGGTGATCTTCAGTGTGACACATCACACCTCTGGGGTTTTTGAGCTTTCTTAAACATGAAAATAGTAACACTTAAATTCTGTTTTATAGTCTGTCAATGACATTTCTGTATTAGAGTGGGATCTTTAGTAAAACATACTGCTGTGTTTTATGATTACTTTATTCTGGCTTGTTCTCTCAAGATTAAAAAATAAAGAGCTAAGTCCACTCAGTATGACATTAATCAGAAGCCTGGACATGACAGAGTTTTTCTGAGTTTCCTTAACTTAGATTTCCAAAAGAATCACAGCAGTTTTGACTCTTTAATCAGTAATGTCCATTTTCTTGGTGTTCTGATAATAGATGTTGTATTTAAAAGAACTGTCAGATGCTTGTTACGGAACTTTAATGAGCGTTAATATGGGAGAGAGACTGTTCAGCCAGATGAAGTTCAGAACAACATTGGGACTAAATTAAATTATGCAAAGTTCTAAAAGTTAAAATAACAGTAATGAAGGATTTACATGTGGCTGGTGTGGGTGATTTGCTTTAACCAAGACATGTCAAGTCCTAGGAGAAGCAGTGTGTAGCCAGCAACCACACCTGAAGAATCTACTGATTACACAGTTTTCTTTATCAGCAACACTGAACACCTTAAATGTGGGAGCCTGTGCAGTATAGAAAACCCCAGAAGTCTTTTAAAAAATAACAAGTTTAGATGTTTTTGTGGCTTGGACTTTATTATGTATGTTGAAACAGTTTAGTGTTCCCTAGTGAAGAGTAACAAAGACGTACCATTATTTAACTACGGAATAAACTTAAGGATGAAGGAATTTTCATGTATAAAATGGTATTTCATACAGCTTTAAATGTTCAGAGGCTTGACAAAGTATGAAAATGTGTTATCTTAAGATTTTTGTGTCCTTGTAACAAGGATGTGTGTGTTGGTCATCTCAGTTTTTGACATGTCTTCTTTCCATTTAGGTTTATTTAGCCCGAAAAGAAGGGTCATCCTCTGCTTCCATCAGCTGGAAGTTTGAGTGCAAGTCAGTCGGTCTAAAAATAGATAACATTTCAGTTAGGACAAGCAGTCAAACTTTTCAGAGTGGAAGAATACAGTGGAGACTTTGCTCTCCAAAAGTAGAAATTGCTCTGCTGGGAGGTAAGTGTGAAATTTAAATAATGAATTATGTCATGCAGCAGAGGTGTAACTAGAAATAAATAGTTTATATGGAGAGAGTACTGTGCAAATACTAAAATTGAAATGTGAATGTTTTTTCACTTTTTCAACTCAGTGTTTCTTAGCAAGGTCAAGAAAATACTTTGCATTTAATTAACACTGGTACAAAACCCAGTTTTATTATAATATAGAACCTTACCTGCAACAGAGCAGGGAGTGCATACAAGACAGTAGTGTTTTACTAGGAATGATAGATGCTTCTATGTCTGGTGGTATCAGTCCTGACTAGACCATCTGAACATTTAAACAAATAATAACTAAAAATTTGTAGGTGATTTGTTTTTTTCTCTACCACCAATGAACAGAAGAATTTGAGTAGCTGCAACTGAGTTCCTTTAACATCTGTTACAACTTACACTTTTTTACATGCATTGTAGCATTATATACCGTCCGGAGCAGTGGCTTACTGAATTATTTATCTTTTCCTCCAATAGATAAAAATCTTTGCTCCTATTCAGATTTTGCTGGTGCAACGGAAGTTATGTTGGAAGCGGTTCTAAAGGGAGGGGATGGTGAAACTGCATGGCAACACACACAGCTGTTTAGAGAGAGCTTAACAGGATGTGGAGAAAATTGCTTGGAGATAATTATAAAACTCAGTGACCTCTGAGAATCTGAACTGCAGAGATGTACTTTGGATTCCTTGAAGACATTATACTATGGAAGATTTCGTTGGCAATTCTTCATCCTGCTGGCAGCATATTTCCTGTTTCACTGCTTCCATTAAACTATCTTGAAACCGCACATGTATTCAATAGGTAAACATCACAATGAAAACCTCTTTGTCTGTAAAAACAAACACCAAAATTAAGGCATTGAACCATAAAGTACCCTTTTCTTAAACTTTGCAAGGAGAACAAAATAATTTTTAGGAAGCAAAACTTGACTGTAGGAGAACAAAGCAGTTGTACCTGATTTTAATTTGGAGTTCTGTGATTGGCTTGCTGTTTTTTGGGGGTTTTTTAATCATCTACTTGGAAAAACAGTTTGAATTCTGTTTCCAAATACAGCAGATGCTTGTGATGATCTTAAAATATTTTAAAGAATAATAGAAAATTTAGACATTTTAAAGAAAAATATGATTTTGTGTAATATCAGAAGTGCTGAAATTAAGTTAGTTTCAAGATTACTTCAAAATTTTCTTGTTACAATCTAAGTATTAGAACTGTGTTTAATACCTAGAAATATTTGGAAGCCTGAAGGTTGCTAGAAACTAATTTTGAAAGAAGTGGTCATATGAACCTAAAATTGTCATGGCCTGTGGTATGAAAGTGAGACTTAAAACTGAGTAAGAACATCACAATTTTTTTCTATGAAAAAATAGGTTATTAATTATAAATACTTTTTTAATGATATAAATTCAGATTTGCTTAATGAATCTTTATAAAAGTAGTTAGGTAGGTTGAAATCTTCTTAAGCTTTTGTCTTGAGCTGCGTTGAATACTATTCCCAAATTTGATGTAAAAATATATACAAATTTTCTGTTCATTAATGCAGTGTTTAAATTTATTTTCAGTCATATAATAAAAAATGAAAAAATGCCATCCAGGAGATGTCAGATGTTGCAGTGATGTGAATAAAGCATGGAATGAATGTTCAGATTAGATAGTCTTTGTCGTAGAATCTGAGGAAGGCTATGCCTGGATACAAAAATATAGGACTAAAATGCAAAGTTCAAACTAGAGTTTTGTTTCAAAATAAGTGAGAATTAGGGTTGATGTTCTCAAGATGAGTGTTTTTCAAGTTCTTCTTCTATCTTCTGACCTTTCCGACCTCTGTATATGTGAAATGATTGTCAGAAATAATTTACGTTGAAATAAATGTTTACTGACCTTTTAACAAATCTAAGCAAATACAAAACTATTCAGATTTTATTAGGAAACTGCAAATGCACAGTGAACGCAGGCATCAAAATGATCACACAGGCATCTTAAAAAGTAGTAGGTTATGGCAGTTTAGGGGTGATAGAATGATGTATGATGGATTATATACTTCTGAATGTAAATTGACGGTTTATGAGGGGGATTAGAAAGGGAGGGTCTCACTCCCTTGGCACAGAACAACACAGTGACAGAGTACTGTGTGGAGGGGTGTTCATCAATACCTGACTAATGCAAGGTGAATTTGCCAGTCTCCATTCAAAACTACTCCTGTATTTGGTTTCAGCTAAATGATTTTTCTGAGATTTTGATGGGAACCAACAAAAAATTATTTTAGATTAAAATGTATACTATCTTGTAAGAAAAAAAAGGAAAAATAAGAAGACTCAAGTAAAACCAATCAACAAAAATGTTTCCACTTCATATTTTGATAGCTGAAAAAGTTACTACTATAAGACAGCAATTATGGTTTTGCATTATATTACTTAAAAGGACCTTGAGCACTTGCAGAATTCCTTAACTGCATCTGATAATTTGAAAACAGAAGGCAGAATAAATGTAAAAGTAGTAAGATAAAGTAATTTTCTCACAATTTTGGTCAGAATCTCTGGGGGAAGAGTAAGAGCTGCAGATAACTTAATAAAACAGGAGAGTAATTTAAGTCCATTATTAAAATGTGTGGATGAATTAAAAAGATTGAAAGATTGAAAAATGCCTTACCAATCTAATTAATGAAAAAGTACTTCTGTATTTGTAAGATCACACGTAATGAATAGAAGAGCTTATTTTAGGAAAGGATTAATAAGTAAAACAGACTGAATAGAGCTAATATGAAAAATTTAAATGTAACTCCTTCAGGTGTCTTTTGAAGTACCCTTTAAACAGTGAACACTTTGAATCTCTTCCTGCATAAGCTGTTATAAAGACACTAATTTTCTCTGCTGATCTCCATTTTAGTGCAAATCTTAATTTTTGTATTTTTTTTTTTTTAAACTGGAGGTAATTCCTCATCCATGCTTGCTTAATCTTAACTTACACTATCCTGAATTTGCAGTATTACATGGTGGAAAGATCTGTACTGCAATCTGCTCTAAAAGTAAGGGTATTAAGTTATGCTGGCAATGATATGATACTGGATGAGTAGTGTATGTTGATCAGGGCACATGTAGCCAAAAGTCAGTGCTTACTGAACTTCTTAGGAAGTTTTAGGAGGTGGAGGTTAAATTAAGAAATGTATGACTTAATACAGGTAAAATCAGCAATGTTTTCAAGAATTCAGCTTAGTCTGGTACATTTTAAGGAACACCTAGCTGTCCAGCATGCCATGGGTGCCTTCCAAAGTTGAGGTGTAACAGTGAAATCTTTTCAACCAAAATTTAGATAAATACTGTACTGCCCAGTTAATTCTTGCAAACTAATTTTGGAGTGCATGGTTTCCGACAGAACCATCTGGGAGCCTGTGCACAGAATTCCTCCTTTCAAACAGACGTTTGTAGCACGGATTTCTGTCTAGAGTTGATCGTACTGTTACTTTCTTTGTATCCTGTTTTGATGCTGAGTGCTACATGCAAAATAGCAACTACTAGAGGCAACCCATTACATTATTGGTAGTAACTTCCCACACTGCTGGAAGTTGCTGAAAAGATGTATCATATGAAGGAAGCCCCTTCTAGGCCGTGTGGAAAGCAAGCACAGGTGTGCAGGAATGGAGCAAACTTGATTCAGTGTAAATTATATACTTGCTCGCATTGAGAAGTAAGTAATGAAAATTATCTTGTCTGGTCCTGTATGATAATCTGTCGCCTTTACTCGTCTGTTATCCATGGGAGATTTTTCACATCTAGTGGCCTACATGTGAGATATTTTCCCTATTATGTGCAACATCAGGAAATGTAGAACACTAAAAATAAAGTATGTTTGTCTCCATAGTGCAGTGGAATGAAAACAGATGGTAGGCAACACATATGGCTGCCAGAAGCTGGCAACACCCATTTGCAGAGTTCTTGTAGCTCAAAACAAAACAAGCCAAAACAAAGGAACTCCAAGGGGCGCAGAGATTGTTCCAGGCAGATATCAGGATATCTGTCCTCCAGGTGCACTCTACCTATTTCTTTACTTTTAGTTGCTAAAGCTAGAAATGGAAGTATACTAGTTAAGAATTTAATGGACCTCCTTAGTATTTGTCAACTTATAGTTTCTTAAGTATTGATATTATTTTAAAAAAGTCTTTAATTTCCACTGTAGGTTTAAATCTCTGGTTTTGGACAAAATTTGTAATTTTGCCAAGTAATTGAACAACAAAAAAATTGTGTCAATATTGAAGGAGCTTCTCTATCACTGCTTCACATCATATGGAGGGTTGAGAAGGAAATTGCAGACAGGTGACTTCCTTAAACACAGTTGCCAGAATAGACCTAGGTCCTTTCTAGATTATGAACGCTTTTTTTGAGTTTATTCAACTTTGTGCTAGTTTATTCCACTGTTGTTTTATGGGATGCTGTTGTTGCGAGCAGTGCCTTATGCCTTGTAGCTTATGGCCTCTCTAAACAGTGATCAGTGATGCAACGCATATTGCAGGTAATTATAGGATTGTTGGTCATGTAGTGTCATCAACAGGAGCAGCAGGAAAGAGTAATAGCGCTAATCTGGGACAATTCTATGTTCTATATGCTAATCTTGAATATTTAACCCAAGCAGAAGGACAGTAGAGTTAAAAAAAAAGAAAAAAGCTTCAGTAGGTTAATACAGTTTCTTCTTCCCTAAAGTTATGGATCAGAATTTTGAGACTGTGTTACAGCACTTAAAAATGGCCAAGGAACAAGCCAAGGGCAAACAGCCTTAAATATTTGTATTTTAGGTGTACAGATATTGTGAAACGTGTAAGGGTTTACATGTGACTGTCTGAATAAGAGAACAGGGGTTTTTCCATTGTTAAGATTTTTGTTCTTATCCTTGATCTTTGTTTTTTTTATGGTAAGCTTTAAAATTTAGCTATTAGCTATGTTTATAATTAGCCTGCTTCAGTTTCTGCAGCTTTATCTTTCTCTACACATTTTCATCTAATGTAAAATACATTTTAATTTGCTTTATGTGAAGAATTGTGGCTGTATGGTGTGTGCACTATGACAAAAATTAAGTTGATTTCTTTTTTTGGTAAAAAGAGATAAAAGGGATAGATTAAAAATATTCAGACTGAGCAAAACAAAAGCATTAGTGATTAAAATTGATGACACCCAGAAACCAACAAAAATAATAGGACTTAATAAAATTTTGTGGTGAATAATAATGTAGTGAACTACATAAGTAGTGCTGGTGAAAGTAGGTTCCATGACTGACCCTGGTTTTGAGGCATTTTTCTATATGTTCATTTATATTTACATCCCTTAAAGTTTTCAGTAGAAGAAAATTGCTCAGAATAGTGAACAGCTTTTTTGAAAAGCAGTGCAAGATTTAAGGAATATCTTTTTTAAAATATTTTTATTTTTACTAATCTAAGCTAAATAATTTTGAAATTAAGAACAGGGTCCTGCTTGCCTTGTTAGACATTCGTTTTTTGTTCCAGTGGATAATTGGGATCTTTGATTTTGGAAGAGTGTGTTTAGTGGCATTTTGTAGCCAAGAACTTTTGGAGCTTGGTGTCTGTAATGATTATGGAATTTCAGTGTCACACTGAGTACCTACAGATACTTTAGGGACTGAGTCTTAAGTGCTGGCTAGCTATGACCTTCTATTAGAGGTCTTAAAAATTGGGGGGAAAAGATGATTTCGCCATGCATTTTGATTGTGATGTGTCAGTGTACATTCTGTTAATTTGATCCTCTTGTTACATAATGCTATGTGTTATTTCATATCCTTGGAACTTCAGGAATATAGTGTATGTCTCCCATATCCTTGAAGTCCCAGGAGAAAATATTTTCCCCCCTGAAAAACATCAGCCAGCAGTTTATCTTTTGTCACAATCAAAAGGAAGTGCTGGACTTACTTTAGATAAGCAGTTTGGGTAACAATATACAGCCTCCCTTGTGAAACAGTCATAAGGAAACCAGCTGACATAAGAAAATGAAGATATCCGAGAGTAATGTTTCAGCAAACTCACAGTAGAATAGGTGGAACAGTTGGTCACAGCCTTTTAGAGCAGATGGAAACACCAGCAAAGTACAGAATGGAAGGACAGAGAGACTCACTTCTTGCTTCTGCCATTACCATTGTGATGAGATGGATAGAAGGTAATGGATTATATGTGTGTCCAGGCTTGCACTATACCAAAAGTCAAAATAACGTACTTAAACTGCAGCAGTTTTTACTTTTAGCCAAAGTGTCAGGGAAATCTATGGTATATTAAAAAGCAAAGTTCACCACTGGCAAAAAAAGATTTAAAACTGTTGTCCAAAAGGGAAATGCCTGCTTGTGAACTGCATTAAGAATTGTGGAGCCATTCTGGTTTGGTTTAGTAAGAAGCATGCCACAAACTGGTTTTGGTTTGTGTGTTTTCTTTTGTTGTTTAGGTGGGAGTTTTTTGCCTGAGTATGCTTACTGATTTCCATGATTCTGGCAATAATGGTTTCAAAGGAAATAGTTCCCTCCCCCGTTCAAAAATTAAAACTAAAGTTTGGAATAAAAAACCACCAAACCCAACACCTCCACAAGGAGGTGGCAGGACAAACAGGAAGTGCAGGAAGTGTTAGAGGCTGCAGTTTAATTTTAACACTTGAGGATAGAAGAAGGTTGAGATCAAGTTAACACTGATAAATGAATGTCAAGTTTGCATCATTTAGGGTTTTATTTTGCAAAACAAGCTAATTGTTTCATGTTTTTTCATAAATATTTTTGAAAGGAATTTGTATCATCATGGAGCCTTTCAAAAGAAAACAGCATCTTAGCAAATTCTTGCACATGTCAATGCTGTGTATGATCTGCCTTTATAAGAAGTTGTCTCGGCCCCTGACCACATTATTATTGTTATCAGTTATTCCTCTACTTCAGTCAGTCTTTGATAATTTTTTTTAAATATAAATTAATTTGATTTTTTTTAGCAAGAGTGAAAACTCAGGGTTCATATTCACTGCAACAGACATTGCAATTTTTCTTGACTATCTGCTGTGACTAATCTGCAACTTCATAGTTATGTTTCACGTTTTTAAGGCTTGCCAGTAATTCATATTTGTACACTAGTTTATTGCTGAAAAAAGTGAATGAATGACAGAAAGAGATGAAGAAATGGGCATTCAGCCAGTTTCAATATATAAATAACTTTCTGAAGACACAGGGAGATTTACATGCATTTCTGGCCTCCGTAATAGGAAACAGACTAAGAAACATTTGCCAGAGTACATTTACCTTTTTTATTTCATTTATTTCACATACAGGACTGATTACCAACCTTTTGTAAATAGTCAGTGAAAAATACAAGGTCCATCTGTGAGCAGAGAATGGAGGCAACATGTATGCTGGTGGAAGAGTAGCTGAAAGATTGTGTGTGCAGAAAAAAACAGAAAAGGAAATAATACCATTCATTTTTACTGAACTTGAGTTTTACTGGCATGTGGTAAATTCAGAGAAATTTGACTAGAACCTGTTGTATTCCTAGGATTGAACATTAAATCCATAACTGGGGGATATTTTTATTTAAAAAATGGTAGGGAAGGGACACTCCAGGCACGCACTGTTACTTGTGGGTTGAGCAGGAGTAACCACTAGCAGTACTGGTTAGTGCATTTTGTATTTAACACACATTAGAATAAGAAAATCAGCACTAGATTATATATGAGCATTAGCTGTATTAGTAGTAAGGTGGATGTATCCTGCAGTGCAGCATAATCAGATGCTTGTTTAACATGTGGTGCCCATTGTCCCCTGGGGTGTAAGCCTCCCTGTTGTTTTCACTGTTAAAACCCCTTCCAAATTCCCCTTCTTCTAAACTAGTGGTTTTCATCCTTTGAAGCAGTTTCTGCAGTGGTGATCAAGGCAATGTTCCAGTTGACTCTTAGGTAAGATCTGGAGGCTTCCACAACATCCCTGGATTCTGTCCTTCTCTTGCTTCCCCTGTGTATTGCAGTCTGATACCCCAACGCCCCATACAGCTTCCATGTATTCCCCAGCTCATGATAGCTGCTGTTTTTTCTTCTCTGGTGGGCAGTGGGAGAAAGGACTCTACAAGGATTGGCAGTACCCTGGTCTGCTGAGGGAGTTCCTTGAATGTGATCCTCTGAATCTGCCACAGCTGTCATTGTTGGGAGATTCTCTTCACCTCTTTTATCATTTTCATTCCTACCTGCTTTTTTTTTTTTTTTTTTTTTGGGGGGGGGGATGGTGTTGGTGTGTCCACAACCTTGGTGTGTTCACAGGACGACTGAATCCTCATCCTTTATCATTCCAGTGTCCCTCAATAATCATTCCTCACTCCTATGTTCCCAGTATAGTTCCCAGTATAGTTCCCGTTCCCTGCAGGCCTACTGGCCACCAATGGTAGCCTGGTGCAGACCTGGTAACATAGGCCTTTCCTCACCATTTTGAGAGCCACTGTCATCCAGGAGCATGAGAAGTGAGGGGGGTGGTGTAGGGCCCACAAAGCAGGGGAAAAGGAAGCAGTAGCCATTCTAAGGGAAGGACATTAGGACTAACATTAGAACCCAGAATGTTTTTGCATGTTTATAAATACAGTTCAGAAGGGCAATGAAGCTCCTGACCAAATTAAATGAGCAGATTTTACTTCTTGGGAAAACTGTTCCTCACACCTTATAGAAACATTACAGAAGGACAACTGAAGAAATTGCCATGAAAACTCAAATGAAAGATTATACATTAAATTTGCATTAAGTTTGCATGCTATGCTACAGGTATCTGTTGAAAGGGTATACTTTCAATTTAACTCCAGAGAATAACCCAAACACTGAATTGAGAACAATATTTTTATTTTGTGTCTTTCTGAAGGATTAACTATTGCTTTTTATAAATATGCAAAGACCTGTAGGAGTAGAAATGCAAAGCACAGCATCCACGCCATTAACATGCTAATTCATTTAGAGGGAATTGAAAAAGTAGTTCTGACTATTATGGTATTTGCATCTTCATGCTACTCTGTTACAGAACCTGTTAAGCAAGCGATGGACCTGGCAGAGTTAACAACCCTGGAGGGAGCACCAACCTCGCAGATCATGGGATATCCCACCAGGGCCAGCATAGGAGTAGCATAGATCAAGAGTGGGATGACAAGTGCTGCAATCTTCTTTCTACTCGTGAAACACAGCATTTGATAAGTGATCAAAAGTAAGCAGGGCAGATTTAAACATTAAACAGAAGCTGGATGGAGGCATCTGAGTGCCATGTTTTATGTGTGCGCTCTGTTGGGAGAATGTCTGTTGGACTGGGCAGCTTAGGAGTGCTGTGCTGCACAACGAGGTGTTCGGCTTTTTGTGGCTAAAAGCAGTCCTGCTGGTTTGCTGAAGCAACTAGAGCTGGAACATGTGCCTTGATTGCTGTAGCTCCTGCTACATTCCCACGGGTTGCTTAATGTGCCTGCCTACATGGCCTATAACTGTGCTCTGTCTTTGTGGTAGTCCGAGAGTTGGTATGGTTCCTGCTCTGCTGTACTTTAACAAAAACTATCAGAAAAGAAAGCATTGCTTGCTCTGAATTCTCTTCAATTCCGCACAACTCAACTGAAAATTAGTGCCTTTAATTATTTGGGAGAATGGATAATGTGATTAGAAAGCTGAGGAAAACTTTATGATTTGAGAATTAAATGTCACAAAGAACCATACGTAGGTAGTTGATCTTTTAAACTTTAGCTATTCTGTGACTTCAAGTAGTTTCATTGTGTTTTCAGTCTTTATGCTTGTGTGCTCTTTCATTATCATTGTTCATGTCACAGAAAACTGAGTCCAACATATTTTGAGAGAAATGGTAGAAAATAATGAGCAACTGAAAAAAAACAGGTTAGCAAACCTGAAGAATTCTCATGCATGCCTTTGGAACTAACAAGTGCCTTTTCAATAAACTAACTGCAAGATGTAAAGTAAAAAAAAGAGCTTCCATGTTTCCCATCATGAGCCTCAAGAGAAATGAGCTCTGCAGAAAAATGTCATGTTCCAGTAGCATGTCCAATATATCTCAAAAGGTACAGGAACACAAAAGAATCTGTAATAATATCTCTGTCTTGACCCAAAGAACTAACTTTAGTACTCGTTACAAGATAAATGGAATTCTGACAGTGTCAAATAGTTTCAAAACCTGCTAGAAAAGATATTGATGCATAAATTGCATATTCTAATTTAAGACGCAGCAGAGAAGAAAAAAATGTCAAGTGGGACACAAACTGATACTGTGTTGCAATTTCTGGATAATGTGTATTGCCTTTTTATGAAAACCTGACAAATTCATTGCACCGATTACCTGGAAATAAGAGAATGTGAGCAGCAGTAAAAGCCAACATACAAGAAACCACACTACAGATAAATTTCAAGAGCTTCAGAGCTTCCCACTCTTCAAAGGCTTTCTGGTATAAAAATTTCCAGAAGAAGAACATGTGTGGAATAGTAAGGCTCAGCGAAAACCAACTAAATAAAAAAGAAGGTGAGTTGTTATTACAACAATTCAATAGCATGATGCTAAAAACTTTGGCATGAGTTTAATATGAAACATGGTACAGGAAAATTATATAAGAACACTGTATCACTAAGTTGTTCTTTGCAAAATTAGTTTTAAAAGAATGAGGGATATGATTATTGTGTAACAGTTAACAGATGTGTTGCAAAAGTAGATATGCTGCCTTCTTTCATATTTTGGTCTGTTACTAAGGTAAAACAGTACCTCTTTTTAAAGTTCTTTGCTTCATAGTTTTCAAGAAATGGAGGAATATTCTAAAAGAACTGCATTGATGAAAAACATTTTTATTCACTGTTCTACAAATTAAATCCACAGTCAATTTCAAAAAGAAATTTATAAAATAATGAGGACTACTGCTTCCATATTCTTTAGGTTAAAAAAAACCCCACAAATATAAGTATATTGAACCATTGTTCAATTCAGTTCAGTTACTTTTAATGCATTCTGTAGATGAAATGCATTATGTAGATGAAAAACTTTATTCTAGAACATTAAAATGAACTAAAAAATTATTAAGACACATATATTCAAAGTCATTCAAAAGATTGTTTTCCTTCCTCACAGGTGACGGACAGGAATCTAAAAGAAAGAAATGCTCTGATCAGGATGCAGCTTTCTGAAGTGCTCAGAAATGGAGAGATGCTTTTGGAACCCATGCTGGGCTGAAGACCTAGACTGAGATTCCCAGATTCTAATATAATTCTGCCATAGCAAAGTGCTGGCTAAATAATTCCTAAGTAGTCAAACACAGTGTCCTGGCTAATACTGAAAGCTGTTGCTACTGAAGCTTCTGCTTCCTCTACCAGCAGTGGCCACAGTCATAGTGAGCAAGAGGCATATAACAACCACTGATCTGGATGATTTTACTTCAACTAAAGACTGAGGTAATGTGTTCTTACATTTCTTAAATAAAAATGGGAGGGCCCTGAGGAGCATGAATAATCTATAGGTAAATGGGAGCAATATAAGGTAGGTGGTGGAAAGAATATAAGCAGTGTTAGTTGGGCAAAAATAGAACAGGAGATCATAACCTAGACGTAAAAATATTTATTCTGTTGCATTTGCTACTCTGTTTACCCATTCTCATAATTAATGCAGCAAGACTAAAATACTAAGGAGAAATACCACAAAGCAAATAATGGAAGACAACTGATATCTTGGAGAGAAACATTCAAGACCCAGAAATACCAATGTGTTAAGGAATCTAAAGGAATAAAAAAAGATTTTTGATGCATTTCTGATCTTCTTTGCTTAATATTAAGACCTAATGAAAATAGAGAAGGGCATGAAGCAGCTAGCAGTGACCATTTTAAACACTGCTTGTTTAATCATACAAACTGTTGAATTACACAACTCCTACTGTAATAAATAGGAACTGTTGCTGTTGAGCTCTGTTACAAATTGGACCACCTGAGAAATTGCTGAATAGCTGATCTATAATAAGTAATTTTTAAGCAGCTGTAAATTTGGATAATGCTTATGTTTAAGTGTGTGGCTGAGTATTGTGCACGTTTTACCTGTTCAGGTCTAGCTTTTTTTATTTTTTAAATTTTTTTTTTTAGTTCAAGTATACATCTGACATAGGTAATCTGAAACAATCTTGAACAAAGGGAATTTTATTAAGCAGGTTCCTAGAAAGATAAACAACCTAATCACAGTGGGGTTGGATTAAGGATTGGACTTGATGATCTTGGAGGTCTCTTCCAACCCAGTTAATTCTATGATTCTATGATTCAGCTAGAAAAGAGTATTCACAAAACCATATTATTATATAAACTTCCTCTTCTAAACTGCTTTGTGAGTGTCAGAAGCACGTTCCCTGTGTTCCCTGTGTTGTGGGCTATAAAACAGTAATTCAAATTTTAGGGTATCTAGTACCAAATCAAACCCATCATGATCTAAAGATTCAAAGCACTAAACCAGTATAAACTCAAGCTGCCAGTACAAATTTGCTCAAAGGGTTTGTTCATTAATTTTTTGGATGGGTAACTTCAAACTGTCTGACTGTCTCTGGTTCTGCTATTCTGTGCCTGACCGGACCCTTCATAGTTAGCCCAGAATTTTATTTTCAGGAGTTCCTTCTTATTGTCTTCCCTACTTTCTGTGCTCAGGTTTCTTGTTTGCTGATGTCCTCATGTGTGCTTCCCTAGCCCTCTTTCAGTTGGGTGTTTACACATCGTTCATGCAACTCTTTCTGTTGTTCTTTGCCTCAGTTATTCATTTATCCAATTTTTCCAAAACTTGTAGCCTCCTTCTCTTTTTGCCTTTGACCTCAGCATAAGCTATGTGGGTGCACTGGCCACACCTTAACAACATGCTCTGTCTCAATGGAGGTTGAGCCATCTGCCTCTCTTGGGTCTTCCCTGAGACTTTCCTCTTCTTGGATTGCCATGAGAACCACACAACTCCATTCTGAGAAAGAAAATGCAAATGCTCATCCTGACCTAGTCATCATCAATTCCAGTCAAAAATGGTGGTACAATGAAGCTGTGCAGAAAAGCTTATCCTTCCTATTTCCTCCCTGTAACTACTAATCATAAATCAAACCACAGTTTATCAGAGATGATTGAATTTTAGCTCATAAGAGCAAAGTACCATCTCTTTAGACATTTCCCAGAATAGTGGGCTTCTCTATTGTCTACATCATCGCTTTTCCCCACAGATTCAACAGTTGTTGCCTTGTATAGCAACAACTCCTTCACCTTCCTGCCTCCCAGGCATGAGTAGACATAAACTGCTATTAGGAAGCAGTCTTGATACTCACTCTGGATCCATCATGGATTTCTGTTTGGAAGGCTATAGAAGTACATTGGTAATGGGGACCTTCAATGAGCAAGGAGAGGGTTGCTGGGTAAAAATTAATCACCATTCACATTTTCTCGCCCAAAGAGTCTTGGATGAACTGCTAGAGACAAAACTCCATGTCTTAGCCAAAAATATATTGCCCTTTGAAAAGAGAGAGCTCGTTTTCAGGAGTTTTCAGGGCTGGCGTACAGGGACAGGAAGGGTTATGTGGCTAACACACAGAAAAGCTACTCAAGTGAGGCAAGCCTAGCGTGCTTTGCTGTGTTCAGCACCGTGAGCTCAAGGAAGTGTCTTTGTGAATGGCATGCCACATCCAAACCTTGCTGGCTTGGATGGTTTGCATTCTCCACGCTAATTAACAATACCATAATGCAGTTGGTGATTGCCAGCCTACAGATGATCACAGCAATCTGCCTCTCAGCTCAGCTAAGTGCTGATGGCCACTGCCATGTCATGTATGTTCAGCACAGATCTCAAAACACATCTCTTTCTCTGTGTTTCTTTCTGTTGTCTTTGCCCCACCTCAGCACTTGCAGCTTTGCCCACTGCCACAAACTCTTATAAAAAGCTCAGATGTTAATAATGGATATTAATTTTATTCACATTGAGAATTGCTCCCAGCAGGGCCAGCTCAACCTCCTTTGCTTCATCTCCACATGCAAATTCTCTTGCCCTATGTGGTCACTGCACAAGGAAGCTTTCTCTTGGAAAAGGAACTTCAATACAAATGAGTTTAATTACTTTGACCAGCCCCTGGCTTAGCAGCAACTCTGTTTATGCTGCTCAGAGAAAGTGTGTCGCAGTTTAAGACTGACCTGACAGCGAGGACACTACGTGGATTTGGATACTAAAGCACTTCTAGTCACAGTTAAATATGTAATGTTAACAAGTGACACCACTTCCACATTCTGTATGAGAGACAGTGCGGTTCAGGACAGAAGCCAGGCAAGTCAGCATGATGGTCTCTAACACAGGCCGTCTTTCTTGCAGCAGGGAGATGGTGTGGTCCTGGGGAAAGTCAGCGGTCCCAGCCACGCGATGGGCAGTCCAGGTTCTGGGCCATGGGGTCCCTGCAGTTAACCCTGGGGCTTCTGCTGGACCTCTTCCCTAGCAACAACCTGTCAGTAGTACACTCACAGCCTGCCCTGTTTGAAAGTCTTCTACACCTCTGGCAATAGAACAGCAATTAACAGGTTAGTTATGGAGGAGTAACTGGGAGTAAGCAGGGTTTAACTCCTTTAATCTTTCTGCCAAATTGTCACTAAGTGGCATGCTGTTCTTGGAGGACAAAGATGGAAATGACCTGGTGTTTTCCAAGAGACTGGTTGTGGATCAGTCTGGCCCCAGGAAAAGCTACTGACAAACACTCCACGGATAAAGTAAGTCCTGGGCAAGGTTCAAATGAGAATGTCAGGCAGTGCATTGACAGTTTGTATAGCCATGGAAAACCACTAGTGTGGGCTCTTGTTAATGCAACAAAGGTATCTGAAATACAGTTGTGTAAATGTGCACGACCTAGCTAAATTTATATTGTTAGATGATCCAGACATGGGTAGACTTTTCTTAAATACCTTGGAATCATGGCCTGAAGCTCATTCACAAAGAAGGTGGTAAAAGTATATCGATCACTGTCATATTGTACTACCGCACTCCTACTCAATAATTTGATCAGTTATTTCATAATTATGTTAATGAATTATGATGGAAGTTTAAAATGCAGTAGAATATGGAAATACCTCTATTGCAAATGTAAATATTTAGTAATAAAATAGGCAGTGTTTGTTTATATCTTATTACAACTACATACAATGTGGAATGTATAATGTAATCGGCATCAGCTTAGTTCCATAAATATTTTAGAACAAAATTACACTTTTTCCTGTATAGTTTGCAGAAAACTAAGAGCTGTGATTGGCCATTTAGGTAAGTGGTTGTATCCAAGTATGCCCTCAGAGTAGATGAATGTACACAGAAATACTTAAAGATCCTTCGTACAGCTGTCTGACTGCTAAAAAGATTGAACACAAAGTAATGTTACAATAAATATTTTGCTTACTAAAATCAGTAGCGAAACTGGTTTAAGTAGATGATTGTTTTGAAAATCTGTAGGGTACTTCTATTTATATTACAGTCTCTAACTATGAGGACAAGTAAATCTCCAATGAACTGAAGTAGGACTTTGTGTATATTATCTCAAGGGGATTATTAATTTAAAATGTCACATGATAAGTGTAAAGTATTTGAAATAAACTGGTAGTGCATGATAGGGCAGGTGGCATCCAGTAAAAAAATTCCACTCCTATCAAAATGTTATGGTGCTTAAATTTGATTCATGCTCAGATTTAATTCTGTGTTTGTTTTAGCAGGGATCACTTAAAATGTGATGAACAGTCTCCTTTCACCACTCTACCTCTGCAACTCACGGAGGCAGCTGCTTGTAGTCTCATGAGAACTTTGTCCCACAGTCCTACGTGGGTAGGAATGCACCCACTCAGCATACACATATAAGTATTAGGATAAAAGCAACATCAACAATAAGCCACTAACATGCCATACAGCTAGCACAGTATATGATGAGAATTAAACAAAGACCAACTTGGACAAAGTAATTTCAAAGACTAAAGAAAATGCTTGGAGGAACATCAACATTTCCTCCTATGTTTTCTCCAGCATGACACATAGACTGAACTTGTCTGACCATGCACATTCAAAGATCAGTAACTGCCAAGAGGAAACTCCTTCCCTCTGTCTTTTTCTAATATATATGGAATTGGCTGTCTTCAAGCTAGATCGCTATCTGCTACTTGGCTCAGGATAGAGGGTTGCAAAAGGCACACTTCCCACACTAAGAACAGCCTATTTACTAAACAGCTGGAGCTAATGAGACCAGAGTACACTAATGTTTGTGACTTGCTCTATTTCTGCTGAATGCAGTAATGGTTCTCTGCCAATGCAGAAAGCTTTGAACAGATGCACTCATTCTGTTTTCTCTTGTCCTCACGATATTCGCTGCAGCAGCCCTGGTTTGCTGTACATGATTCATTTTAATGAGTTCTACATATAAATTTGAGAGTTTGAAAAAAACCCCACAACACAGTTCTAATCAGCAAGCCCAAAATTCTGAGGCACTAGGCAGAGCCCTGCAAGTGTTACCTTCTTCTAGTTCTGCGAGAAACAGTTTCTTATCTAGCCCAAAGTAGAAGAAAACACAACCTACAGCTCAGAGGTACAAGCAGCCCCAATACAACTGGGCTGGAACAGATAATTTACTGTCCCTTCTAGGCAGATGCCATTATTTTCCATAATCCCTGTGCAGCACTTATATATTAGTTTAATAAGTTCCTTAGAAACTGGCAGGGTAAAATTATGCTAAATAAGCAATATTTACAAGAAATTCTTCTGATCCTTCCCTTGAGGCATAATTGAACATTACAACTGACTCCTCAAAAGCAGCTGCTCCATTTCCAATCCCTTTACTTCTAAGGAAAAGCACTTTGCAAAAGGAAAAATCTTTAAATTATTGCTCTTCCTTTGAAATTATTCTCTTTGGATGTCAATTTGTCTGCTAACTCAGATGCAGTGC